CCCAGCTATGACTAAATATTTATCATTTCCCTCGGTCCTTATAAGGCCTTTTGCTGGGTCAGAAGAGTGGACGGGGAAAAGGAGGCAAGCAACGTGCCCTAATTCGGCTGCTCTCCTGCGAAAATATTAGCTATTATTATTATTATTATTATTATTATTATTATTATTATTATTATTATTATTGTTATGAAAATTATAATAAAATAAATCATAAAATAAATAATAAATATTATAATAGTACAAATAATATGCATGAAAAATAATAACAAAATAATAACAGAATAAATAATAAATATTATTATTATTTATAAATAATATGCATGGAAAATAAAAACAAAATAATAATAGAACAAATAATAAATATTATTATTATTAAAATAATAATAATAATAATAAAAGAAATCATAAAATAAATAATAAATATTATAATAATATAAATAATATGCATGGAAAATAAAAACAAAATAATAATAGAACAAATAATAAATATTATTATTATTATTAAAATAATAATAATAATAAAATAAATCATAAAATAAATAATAAATATTATAACAATATAAATAATATGCATGGAAAATAATAACAAAATAATAATAGAACAAATAATAAATATTATTATTATTATTAAAATAATAATAATAATAATAAAAGAAATCATAAAATAAATAATAAATATTATAATAATATAAATAATATGCATGGAAAATAAAAACAAAATAAGAACAGAATAAATAATAAATATTATTATTATTTATAAATAATATGCATGGAAAATAAAAACAAAATAATAATAGAACAAATAATAAATATTATTATTATTATTAAAATAATAATAATAATAAAAGAAATCATAAAATAAATAATAAATATTATAATAATATAAATAATATGCATGAAAAATAATAACAAAATAATAATAGAACAAATAATAAATATTATTATTATTAAAATAATAATAATAAAATAAATCATAAAATAAATAATAAAATATTATATTAGTACAAATAATATGCATGAAAAATAATAACAGAATAAATAATAAATATTATTATTATTAAAATAATAAGAATAATAATAAAATAAATCATAAAATAAATAATAAATATTATAATAATATAAATAATATGCATGAAAAATAATAACAAATAATAGAATAAATAATAAATAAATATCGCAATACTATAAACATATTAAATATAATTAATAATAACATAAATATGATGATAGTAATAAATACTAATATAAACAATAATAATAAAACCACAATAAACACATTCATAACAAAATAAATAATAAATATTGTAATAATAAAAGTAATACGCATTAAATAATAATAATAATAAATATAAATAATACATTAAATAATAATAAAATAAATAATAAATATTATAATAAGCATATTTATTAATATGCTTATTAATATGCATAAAATATAATCACAAAATAATAATATAATAATATAATAATAAATAATAATAAATAATAATAAATAATAAAAATAAAATAAATGATAAATATTACAATAATAAAATAATATAAATAATATGCATGAAATATAATAAAATAATAATAGAATAATAAATAAATATCGCAATACTATAAACATATTTATTAAATATAATGAGTAATAATAACATAAATATGATAGTAATAAATACTAATATAAACAATAATAACAAAATCGCAATAAAAATTCATAATAAAATAAATAATAAATATTGTAATAATATAAATAATACGCATTAAATAATAATAATAATAATAATAAATATTGTAATAAACATATTTATTAATATGCATTAAATATAATTACAAAATAATAATAAATAATAAAATAAACAATAAATATTATAATAATATGTATTAAATATAATAATAATAATAAATATAATAATATAAACCATGTTTATTAAATATAATAAATAACAATATAAATATAATAATATAAACCATATTTATTAAATATAATAAATAACAATATAAATATAATAATATAAACCATATTTATTAAATATAATAAATAACAATATAAATATAATAATAAAGAATAATATAAATAATAAAATCATAATAAATGAAATCATAGTAAAATAAATATTATAATTATATGAATAATATGTATTAAATATAATAAAATAATAATAGTAAATACAATAAATAATAAATAAATATTATAATAATATCAATATTTATTAAATATAATAATAATAAATGAAATCATATAATAAATATTATAATTATATGAATAATATGTATTAAATATAATAAAATAATAATAGTAAATACAATAAATAATAAATAAATATTATAATATAAATATTTATTAAATATAATAACAATAAAAATCGTAATAAAATCACAATAAATTAAATGATAAATAAATATTATAATAATATAAATAATATTGATTAAATATAAGTAGTAATAATAATAATAGATTTCGTATACTTTGGCAAACGGAGAGTCTCATGAAAATCAGAAGATAAGTGTACAATAAATGCATAAAGTTAAGAATACGCATTGCCTTGTTTTCACAACAAGGAATCCCCGCCCTTCCCACTTCCCTTTTGCCACTTCCTGGTGGCAAACTCCACTCGTACACACTTTCACTCTCCAAATGCACAAGTGTCAAGAGCAAACCGATGTGATCGGACATAGCAAAGAAAGTCTGAAATTGCTGGCCGGGAATGATGGGAGTTGGAGTCCCCAAGAGCCTTTGAATTCCCAGAATCCCCAGCCAGAAAGGACAAGTGACGTAAATAAGAGCCGGGAAGCACACCAGACTCTCGTTTTCACCACCATTTTCACCACCATTTTAAATACGATTTTCACCATCATTGGGCAAATAATAATAATAATAATAATAATAATAATAAGAGTGATCTTGTCTGCTGTGGACTCATCTTGTTGTGCTTCAAATAATAATAATATAACAATAATAGTAACCCACCCTACCCGCTTCCCTGGTGAACCCACTTCCCTGGTGAACTTTGGAGTCACACCCATTTTCACCAAAATTTTCACCATCATTGGGCATAAAATAATAATAGTAATAATGTGTTGTTGAAGGCCATACAGCCCGGAAAACTCACAGCAACTCAACACCAACATAGCAATAATAATAGCCTACTCTACCCACTTCCCTGGTGAGTTCACCAGGCTTTGAAGTCTCACCCTCTTTGTTCACCATACTTTTCACCATCATTGGGCATGAAATAATAATAGTAATAATAATGTGTTGTTGAAGGCTGGAGCGTGGTCATACAGCCCGGAAAACTCACAGCAACCCAACAACAATATAGCAATAATAATAACCTACTCTACCCACTTCCCTGGTGAGCTCACCAGGCTTTGGAGTCTTTGTTCACCATACTTTTCACTGTTATTAGTAATAATCATCATCATCATCATCATCATCATCATCATCATCATCATCATCATATAACAATAATAATAATCTTCTCTACCCACTTCCCTGGTGATCCCACCATAATTTGGAGTCTCACTCTTTTTTACCACGATTTTGACCGTCATTGGGCATAATAATAATAATAATAATAATAATAATAATAATAATAATATAACAATAATAATAACCTACTCCACACACTTGCCTAGTGAACTCATCAAACTTTGGAGTCACCCCCATTTTCACCATCACTGCACATAGAATAATAATAGTTATAATTTTTCATCACACTTTTCACCATCATTGGGCATAATAATAATAATAATAATAATAATAATAATAATAATAATAATAATAATAACCTACTCTACCCACTTCCCTGGTGAGACTTTGGAGTCACCTCCATTTTCACCATCATTGCACATAAAAGAATGACAATAATAATAATTTTTCACCACACTTTTCACCAACATTAGGTATAAAATAATAATAACAATAATGCAACAACACCAATAGTAATAACCACCCACTACTCTCGTGAGCTCACCAGACTTTGGAGTCACCCCCACTTTCACCATCATTGAGCATACAATAATAATAATAATTTTTCACCACACCTTTCATCATAATTGGACTAATAATAATAATAATAATAATAATAATAATAATAATAATTTTTCACCACACTGTTCATCATCATTGGACATATAATAATAATAATAATAATAATAATAATAATAATAATAATAATAATTTTCCTCACATTTTCACCATCATTGGACATAAAATAATGATGATGATAATAATAATAATTTTTCACGACACTTTTCACCATCGTTGGACATATAATAATAATAATAATAATAATAATAATAATAATAATAATAATAATAAATAATTTTCCTCACATTTTCACCATCATTGGACATAAAATACTAATAATACTTTTACACCACACTTTTCATCATCATTGGACATAAAATAATAATAATAAATTAATAATAATTGTTTACCAGACTTTTCACCTTTATTGGGTATAAAATAATAATAATTTTACACACTTTCCACCATCATTGGACATAACATAATAATAATAATAAATAATTAATAATAATAATAATAATTTTACACCACAATTTTCACCATTATTGGGTATAAAATAATAATAATAATTGTTCACCACACTTTCCACCATCATCGGACATAAAATAATAATAATAATAATAATAATAATAATAATTAATAATAATTTTTCACCACACTTTTCACCATCATTGGACATAAAATAATAATAATAATAATTAATAATAATTTTTCACCACACTTTTCACCATCATTGGACATAAATAATCAATAATAATAATTGTTCACCACACTTTTCACCATCATTGGGCATAAAATAATAATAACAATGATACAACAATAATAACTTACTCTATGCAGTTCCCTGGTGAGTTTACCAGACTTTGGAGCCTCACCCACATTTTCACCACTATTTTCACCACTAATTTTTTTTCACCACTGTTTCACAAGGATTTTCACCAGGATTTTATTTAAAAAATGTATTTTTCAGCACAGAAAGACTCACCACTTCTTGGTGCACTCGAGCACCAGCTCCTGGTAACAGGCCACGAAGTGGAACTTGGCGGCTCGCTTGCCCACCCTCTGGAGCCTCTTCCAGACTGAGCTCATGCCTGGACCCCTGGCTCTTGTCTCTTTTTGGGGGGCCTCTCCTCCTTCTTCACTTGGGGCCGCCCTCCTGCCTGGGCCCTGGCATCCTCTCCCAGGGAAGCAGAAAGAGAAAGGAGGAGGAGGAAGTTAGTGCAAAGAGCAGCCAAAGTTGTCAGAGAAGGGAAGGGAGGGAGGAAGGAAGGAAGGGAAGTTCAGCCCCAATGGGTGGGTGTGGGTGTGGGTGTGGGCGGGGACACACAGCAGAAACAGCCCTGGCAGGAGGAAGCAGAGGCAGCAGCAGAGCTCCTGAGCATGGGCAGAGTGCAAAGGAGGGTTGCCCTAACTCCAGGGACAGCTGGGAAGGAGGGAGCTTTCCAAAACTACACTGGACCAAGAGCATTCCTGAGCAAAGAGTGTTCAGAGGCAATGGGCAAAGAGTGTTCCTGAGCATGTGCAGAGTGCTGGGTGTACAGGGTCAATGGGCAAAAGTGTTTCTGAGCATGCACAAAGTGCTGGATGCACAAAGTGCTGGGTGTTCAGAGTCATAGGGCAAAGAGTGTTCCTGAGCATGCACAAAGTGCTGGGTGTTAAGAGTCAATGGCAAAGAGTGTTCCTGAGCATGCACAAAGTTCTGGATGTACAAAGTGCTGGGTGTTCAGAGTCAATGGGCAAAAGTGTTCCTGAGCATGCACAAAGTGCTGGGTGTTCAGAGTCAATGGGCAAAAGTGTCTCTGAGCATGCACAAAGCGCTGGATGTACAAAGTGCTGGGTGTTAAGACTCAATGGCAATGAGTGTTCCTGAGCATGCACAAAGTTCTGGATGCACAAAGTGCTGGATGTACAGAGTCAATGGGCAAAAGTGTTCCTGAGCATGCACGAAGTGCTGGATGTACAAAGTGCTGGATGTACAAAGTGCTGGAGGTACAGGGTCAATGGGCAGAAGTGTTCCTGAGCATGCGCAGAGTGCTGGATGTACAAAGTGCTGGATGCACAAAGTGCTGGAGGTACAGGGTCAATGGGCAGAAGTGTTCCTGAGCATGCACAAAGTGCTGGATGTACAAAGTGCTGGATGCACAAAGTGCTGGAGGTACAGGGTCAATGGGCAGAAGTGTTCCTGAGCATGCACAAAGTGCTGGATGTATACAGTCGATGGCAAAGAGTGTTCCTGAGCATGCACAAAGTTCTGGATGCACAAAGTGCTGGGTGTTCGGAGTCAATGGCAAAGAGTGTTCGTGAGCATGCACAAAGAGCTGGATGTACAAAGTGCTGGATGTACAGAGTCAATGGGCAAAGTGTGTTCGTGAGCATGCACAAAGTGCTGGAAGTACAAAGTGCTGGGTGTTCAGAGTCAATGGGCAAAGAGTGTTCCTGAGCATGCACAAAGTGCTGGATGTATACAGTCGATGGCAAAGAGTGTTCCTGAGCATGCACAAAGTTCTGGATGCACAAAGTGCTGGGTGTTCGGAGTCAATGGCAAAGAGTGTCCGTGAGCATGCACAAAGTGCTGGATGTACAAAGTGCTGGATGTACAGAGTCATAGGGCAAAGAGTGTTCCAGAGCATGCACAAAGTGCTTGGTTGTACAAAGTGCTGGATGTACAGAGTCATAGGGCAAAGAGTGTTCCTGAGCATGCACAAAGTGCTGGAAGTACAAAGTGCTGGGTGTTCAGAGTCAATGGGCAAAGAGTGTTCCTGAGCATGCACAAAGTGCTTGGTTGTACAAAGTGCTGGATGTACAGAGTCATAGGGCAAAGAGTGTTCCTGAGCATGCACAAAGTGCTGGAAGTACAAAGTGCTGGGTGTTCAGAGTCAATGGGCAAAGAGTGTTCCTGAGCATGCACAAAGTGCTTGGTTGTACAAAGTGCTGGATGTACAGAGTCATAGGGCAAAGAGTGTTCCTGAGCATGCACAAAGTGCTGGAAGTACAAAGTGCTGGGTGTTCAGAGTCAATGGGCAAAGAGTGTTCCTGAGCATGCACAAAGTGCTGGAAGTACAAAGTGCTGGGTGTTCAGTCAATGGGCAAAGAGTGTTCCTGAGCATGCACAAAGTGCTGGAAGTACAAAGTGCTGGGTGTTCAGAGTCAATGGGCAAAGAGTGTTCCTGAGCATGCACAAAGTGCTGGAAGTACAAAGTGCTGGGTGTACAGAGTCAATGGGCAAAGAGTGTTCCTGAGCATGCACAAAGTGCTGGAAGTACAAAGTGCTGGGTGTACAGAGTCAATGACAAAGAGTGTTCCTGAGCATGCACAAAGTGCTGGAAGTACAAAGTGCTGGGTGTACAGAGTCAATGGGCAAAGAGTGTTCCTGAGCATGCACAAAGTGCTGGAAGTACAAAGTGCTGGGTGTTCAGTCAATGGGCAAAGAGTGTTCCTGAGCATGCACAAAGTGCTGGAAGTACAAAGTGCTGGGTGTACAGAGTCAATGACAAAGAGTGTTCCTGAGCATGCACAAAGTGCTGGAAGTACAAAGTGCTGGGTGTACAGAGTCAATGGGCAAAGAGTGTTCCTGAGCATGCGCAAAGTGCTGGATGCACAAAGTGCTGGATGCACAGAGTCAATGGTCAAAGGGTGTTCCGGAGCATGCACAAAGAGCTGGACCTTCAGAGTCACTGGACAGAAGTGCTCCTGAGCATGTGCAGAGTCCTTTGTGTGAATTGAATGCTTTCCAAAGAAGGGGCCTGCACTCAAAGCACGATACCAAAGTAGGCTGCAATTAATCACCAAGAGTGTCCCTGAGCATGTGCAGAGTGCTGGGTGTTCAGAGTCCATGGGCAAAGACTGTTCCTGAGCATGTACAGAGTGTAAATTCGAGCTGTGTTGGTTTGAACGGGCTCGCTTTCTAAGGAGAAGCCTGCACTCAAACCGCCAACACAAAAGTACGCTGTAATTCATCACCAAGAGTGTCCCTGAACATGCGCAGAGTGCTGAGTGTTCAGAGTCAATGGGCAATGAGTGTTCCCGAGCATGTGCAGAGTGTAAATTGGAGCTCCGTTGGATTGAACGGGCTCGCTTTCCAAGGAGGGGCCTGCCGTCAATGCAAGACAAAAGTAGGCTGCAATTAGTCACTAAGTGCGTCTCTGAGCATGTGCAGAGTGCTGCGCCTTCCAAGCTGGCTATGGGTAATGGGCAAAGAGTGTTCCTGAGCATGCGCAGAGTGTTTTGCAAGATGTCATTGCAACCTATGCAATTAGCGTTCCCATGCGCTTCCTCCCACTGCCATTGGAGGGTGCCATTGTGCAACATGTCATTGCAACCTATGGAATTGCCGTTCTCATGCGCTTCCTCCCACCGCCATAGGAGGGTGCCATTGTGCAACATGCCATTGCAACCTATGGAATTGACGTTCTCATGCGCTTCCTCCCACCGCCACAGGAGGGTGCCATTGTGCAACATGCCATTGCAACCTATGGAATTGCCGTTCCCATGCGCTTCCTCCCACCGCCATAGGAGGGTGCCATTGTGCAACATGTCATTGCAACCTATGGAATTGCCGTTCTCATGCGCTTCCTCCCACCGCCATAGGAGGGTGCCATTGTGCAACATGCCATTGCAACCTATGGAATTGACGTTCTCATGCGCTTCCTCCCACCGCCACAGGAGGGTGCCATTGTGCAACATGCCATTGCAACCTATGGAATTGCCGTTCCCATGCGCTTCCTCCCACCGCCATAGGAGGGTGCCATTGTGCAACATGTCATTGCAACCTATGGAATTGCCGTTCTCATGCGCTTCCTCCCACCGCCATAGGAGGGTGCCATTGTGCAACATGCCATTGCAACCTATGGAATTGACGTTCTCATGCGCTTCCTCCCACCGCCATAGGAGGGTGCCATTGTGCAACATGCCATTGCAACCTATGGAATTGCCGTTCTCATGCGCTTCCTCCCACCGCCATAGGAGGGTGCCATTGTGCAACATGTCATTGCAACCTATGGAATTGCCGTTCTCATGCGCTTCCTCCCACCGCCATAGGAGGGTGCCATTGTGCAACATGCCATTGCAACCTATGGAATTGACGTTCTCATGCGCTTCCTCCCACCGCCATAGGAGGGTGCCATTGTGCAACATGCCATTGCAACCTATGGAATTGACGTTCTCATGCGCTTCCTCCCACCGCCATAGGAGGGTGCCATTGTGCAACATGCCATTGCAACCTATGGAATTGCCGTTCTCATGCGCTTCCTCCCACCGCCACAGGAGGGTGCCATTGTGCAACATGCCATTGCAACCTATGGAATTGCCGTTCCCATGCGCTTCCTCCCACCGCCATAGGAGGGTGCCATTGTGCAACATGTCATTGCAACCTATGGAATTGCCGTTCTCATGCGCTTCCTCCCACCGCCATAGGAGGGTGCCATTGTGCAACATGCCATTGCAACCTATGGAATTGCCGTTCCCATGCGCTTCCTCCCACCGCCATAGGAGGGTGCCATTGTGCAACTTGTCATTGCAACCTTGGAATTGCCATTCTCATTCGCTTCCTCCCACCGCCATAGGAGGGTGCCATTGTGCAACATGTCATTGCAACCTATGGAATTGCCGTTCCCATGCGCTTCCTCCCACCGCCATAGGAGGGTGCCATTGTGCAACATGCCATTGCAACCTATGGAATTGCCGTTCCCATGCGCTTCCTCCCACCGCCATAGGAGGGTGCCATTGTGCAACATGTCATTGCAACCTATGGAATTGCCGTTCTCATGCGCTTCCTCCCACCGCCATAGGAGGGTGCCATTGTGCAACATGCCATTGCAACCTATGGAATTGACGTTCTCATGCGCTTCCTCCCACCGCCACAGGAGGGTGCCATTGTGCAACATGCCATTGCAACCTATGGAATTGCCGTTCCCATGCGCTTCCTCCCACCGCCATAGGAGGGTGCCATTGTGCAACATGTCATTGCAACCTATGGAATTGCCGTTCTCATGCGCTTCCTCCCACCGCCATAGGAGGGTGCCATTGTGCAACATGCCATTGCAACCTATGGAATTGACGTTCTCATGCGCTTCCTCCCACCGCCATAGGAGGGTGCCATTGTGCAACATGCCATTGCAACCTATGGAATTGCCGTTCTCATGCGCTTCCTCCCACCGCCATAGGAGGGTGCCATTGTGCAACATGCCATTGCAACCTATGGAATTGACGTTCTCATGCGCTTCCTCCCACCGCCATAGGAGGGTGCCATTGTGCAACATGCCAT